TCCGTTTATTCTCTGACGGCTGTGGTGTTCAGAACAAAAACACTACAGTCGTGTTCATCAACGGGAGGTCACCCACCCAGGGCTTAATCAAGACCTACCACTAGAGATGAGAAAACCGACCATGAGTCGGGAGCGAGAAGCCTGACCATAGGTCGGGAGCGCGCCCGAGTTCGCGTACAAACCTCGCTCGATTTTGAGAATATACCTGTGAATGGATGTGGATTTAAATTGTTAATAGTGTTATACAATGGTATTGATCATTTATATAGGCTTGTATAGGCCGTAGGCAGGATTTAAAAAAGTGGCTAAAATGCCCACTATGTTATTCTTATGGGGAAAACGTGCCTAAAGTGATGTCATATTCTGGGTTCGCCACTACTTTACATTTACACCTGTAAGGGCCAATAAATGTAAGAAATAGCTTTTTTAGCTTGATGTCGAATATATTTATGGAGAATAAGTAAGAAATAAGGTTTGACAATTATATAGGGATATGTGGGCAAAGATCAGGATTTTTGGAATTGGTGGCCAAAAAATGATCCCCATGTTATTCTCGTGGGAAAAAACGCCCCAAGTGACGTTAAACCGGTAGTTCGCTACTACTAAAATTAAATTATTTAAGTAAATAACTCAATTAACTAATTGTTGTAATTATAGAGCCTATAAAAAAGCCGATTTTTACATAATTTTTAAAAATTACTCTAAGGTTATGCCTCAATAAACATTATTTTAGTCAGTTTTTCTGGATTTTCCTAAAATTTTGAAATCTGGATTTAACGACTTTTGCCACTGACCTAAAGACTTATTATAAAAAATATATTATGTTGTAAGAAATTTATATAAGGAATCTAAAATCGAATGAAACAAAAACTCTATCAAAAACTATTTATTGAATATTATAAATACTAATGATTTGCCCAATTATGGCACGGCAGCTTGGGCAGGTCAGCGAGAGGCGTGTTTGCCGTCAGCTGGAGTGACGGAGTAGTACACCTCTTGTGACTCAGTCACAACACAGAACGTTGTGACCACAAGGGATGCATTACTCTCGTTGGTCGATTTGTGGAGCACACGAGGCATGCTACTTGACCCTCCGACGCAAGCTCAGGCGTCTCATCCATTGCAGCGATGAGCAATCTCTCGATTTTCACGCGTTTTTTTTCCATATCTGGCAATTACTTATATCTACGGGAGGGATGGGGGTTGGATAGATTTTCACGAAACGTCCCCGGCGCCGGGAATGCAGTGTGTGGCATATGTGTCTTTCCCCCCTACCTTTGAGTAAACTAAGACAACTGTAAAACTGGAAAATTACATATCCTTAACCAAAGTGTTTCATATAAATAATATTCCTAAGGGTCTTATCACTACATCACGCTCTAGGTCTTCGCAAAGTTGATTGAAGTCACAGTTTAAGCTTTTATTTACCAAATCTGTGAAGAACGAGTCGAAACTTTCACCGGGATATTGCTTTCTAGTGAGGAATTTGTGCCTTTCTACAGGCAAGTTCTTCTTTGTGTAGAAGTAGGCCTGGAACTTATCTACCACAGTGTTGTAGTTGGTTAGTGAATTAGAGTCAATATTCAAGGAGTTGAAAGTATCAAAACACTTTGCATCTAAGTTATGCAATAGGATTGCTATTTTCCGTCCATCTTTCTCTTTATCGAAGTTTAAGGCAGTTAGGAATATCTTTAAACGTTGATACCAAAACGTCAAATTCCGAGCTATGTTTCCTTAAAAAGCTTATCCGGCCTATTTTTGAATCGATGCTGGCACTTGTATTTGGGTTAGATGATGAGGAAGGCATTTTACTAATTTGACAGTTCTTACTGAAATGCATTTTTCAATGAAGATTATCCACACTAAGATAGGCTATGCTAGGAACATACAGCAATTCTCACGTAACCTAACCTATAACTAATCCACTCGGTTATTTGTTTCATTAATGTGCTATTGTAATGTAAGATCCAGCGCCGCCATAAGGTTAACTAAACGACGAAATATGCCAGGATTTTTTAAAATTTTCGCGTTCACCATGTACTTGCAATGCTAACTCAAACTCCCCACAACATTTAATTGCATCAATTATTTTACCGAAAATGTATCGATTTTTCGAAACTTCTTAATTTGGTTTTGAATTTTTAATCTATATTATTATCATCCATTCGGCATCTAATGTCAATTTTGCCTAAAGCAGCATATTCCATCGACGTATTTATGTGTTTTACACTTGTTTTGTGTTTTTTTACTTTCTCCAGTAGAAGATGTTTAAGTCTGAAATGCCGTCTACAGTCCATGCACGATCTTGAACCCCCATGAATAAAACAAGTGTAGCAGAAAAATGCATTTTTAATTGAACAACCGCATAGCCATTGCATGATTGTACATATATGGCGAAAATGTTCGTGTGAAACTATTCTTATTCTTGTAACTGTTTTGAATCTAATTGATTTTCTTAAAAGACCTATGAAGTCCTTTTTTTCAAAGATATTTTTTGATCAATATTTTTTATTCCTTCATTGCTAATCAGGCTAACTTCGTGAGTGACGTTAGCCGTTGACGACAACGACATGCCGCCACCCATTATTATTTACAATCCTCGGCAAATTTACATGTAATATTGAGGCTAAGAATAAGTCACTATAACTTATATGGTCTGAGTCGCTGCTCTGATTTATGAATGCCCCAGAGTCCCTATTGTAAAGCATTGGAATGACATCACGGCACCCTCAGCGCTGTTCGGTGTTTCTACCATAAGACTACATGCATTGAGCTTTGGACGGAGGTGGCAGAAATCCACATTATGAAAGCAACTATCGCAAAACAGTCATTACTGGATTCAAATGTAAAACAATTTCATTTCATATTATTGTCATATTGATTAAAGTACTTGTGAGTAATTAAATTAAACTGACGATGGATTATTTTTTAATTGCATAAATAAAAAAATAATTTACTATCGTATTGTTGGGAGGGTGGCGTCCGAAAGTCCTCACGGGCTAGCCGCTACTGATACCCCTTTGATTTCAGGGTGGTCATCACTAGTAGCAGCGTCTCTTTGGTTTTGTCCCAAGCTGGAATATACCACACTACTTTGAACCTCCATAGATATAGCTGTTTTCCGTTTCTTTTTCTTTTCTTGTGACCAATCTATTTCACACTTTTCGCTTAAAAATTTTTCTTCGACAATAATCTGGCATTAACTAACTTTTTACGAGTTGCTTCAATTAGGGTCATTGCAGCTGACAAATCCAAATATTTTTATTGCATGAAGATAGAATATGAAACTGTTTTGTTGAATTTGCAAACTTAGATCAAGTGAATCAGATCTGTAATTTTTTCCTTCATCCAGCACGATCAAAATTGCTTGAAAAGTTTGTGTGACATTCTTTACAGAGCTTCGTCGTACAGAGCTTTTACTTATACGTTAAATTGATGTTATGTGCTATATGTGATGTATCTTGTGCAAAAGAGTGCTCTAGCCTCTGATGAGCGTTGTAAGGCGGCAAGATGGCTGACTGTTAACAACTTGTTGTAAAGTGTCCTGTTACTTTTGTTCGTACTTAGTTTTTCCAACTCACCTGTGCTGCTTCCCGTCTCACAGAATATTTCTCAAAGCTGTAGTGAGTCTCTGTGTCAATTAAATGTGTAAATACTAGCACCCGAATATTCACATTTACCCTGCTAACACCGGCCCTATCCCTTCAAACTGCAAAGTCATTAATTTAACCTCGTCAATTTTGTCTCAACTCCAACGTCCCATCTGTCTACTTAACACTTGTCGTCTGCTGTCAATACCATAGTGAACTCACATTCTCTAACATAGTGAACTCACATAGTGAACTCCAGTCCGCCAAAAATCCACAGCCTTCTCGATATTGAAACCGGCACTATAATAGATACCATTGATTATTTATCAAGCCCTACAGAATGTCTTCGTTGGATGTTTGTCCAGTCTGCGTCATTGCGGTAACTCAAGAGGATAGAGGTGTTGCATGCGATGACCAGTGTAAGAGATGGTTTCACGCAGCCTGCGTCAAGTTATCAGCCTCGGAATACTCCAAGCTGGCAAATGATGTAAATAAAAAATGGAACTGCGGGCGTGATGACTGTTTAAATGCTGCAAAACAGCCCCTAAACATGCTAGTTGCGCAATTATCATCACTGAGTAAGAATATCGCCGTCCTAACGAATAAAGTAGATACACTTATCTCTCTTCCTACTAAGATCGATAAAATAATATCTGATGTAAGCCGCCTCAACGACAATATACAGTCACTGAATGATCGTGTAACTTCAAATGAAGAACGAATTAAAGTGATGGAAAACGCAGCCAACAACTCTACCTCTGGCAACATAAATTTTAATCCCGAGGATATTTTGGCAGAGATGAATGACCGTGCACGCCGCTCATCAAATGTCATGGTCTATAACCTCCCCGAGTCCCGCAGCACCGACATTGACACCAGGAAAAAACATGACCTTGACCTAGTCTCTGAATTGTTTAAATCCTTCTATCCTACATTTGAAAATAAAGGAATAAACACTTCCCGAATCGGCAAGAAGCAGAGTGACAAGCAAAGACCCCTTAAGGTATTCTTGAAATCTGAATCTGAGGCTCGTAACATTATTATTAATTACCCACATGACACTGAGGTTGGAGCTGGTGAAAAATTTGCTTCAGTCTCGCTCGGCCGGGACAGAACGCCACAAGAACAGAAGTACCTTAAAACTCTCAAAGAAGAACTCGAAAAAAGAAAACTCAAGGGAGAAAAAACCCTAACGATTAAATTTAGAAACAACGTTCCATTCATTGTAAATATCTCAAAAAACGATTAAGCCCCAAAGGGGCCAATCCGCTTGCATGCTATTACCAAAATGTTAACGGAATCAGAAGCAAATTTCACTCCCTCTCACAAACCGTTGCAGTCTGCCCCTATGACATTATATGTCTCACTGAAATTAACCTGTCTTCTGACATACATGACAGCGAACTTGGCATGCCGGAGTATACTATTTTCAGATGTGATAGGTCTGACTCCACAAGTAGCAAATTGAGTGGCGGTGGGGTACTAATTGCGATTCGTGACAGTATTCCATGCCAACACATAACGTCTACAGGCAATGACATAGAATGTCTGTTCGTACTGTGTAAACTTGCATCAAGTTCAGTCCTAGTTGGCAATGTTTATATACCCCCGGGTCAGCCCACTTCCATGTACTCCGCACTATGTGATACCTTTGATGAGATCATGAGCTTAATCAAGGATACAGCATTTATTGTCGTTATGGGTGATTTCAACCTCCCAAACATGATCTGGACTGACCCAGATCCTCAAAGACTAACGTTATCTTCACGCTACGTCAAGGAAACTTTCTCGTCATACGAGCTCACTCAGGTCAACAGAGTCCTAAACCATAGGGGAGTCAGCCTTGACTTGATTTTCTCAAACAATGACGATCTTGATGTAAGAAACGCTGAGGATGTATTGCTGCCAGAAGATATGCATCATCCAGCTTTGTCTTTCTCTCTCAGCGCCTCAAACTCTTCACCCTCGACAGGTCCTAGATACTTCCATGACTTCCGTCGCTGTAATGTTGAAGCTGTCTTTGACAGTCTACTTCGTCTCAACTATCCTATTCTGTCAGATCAACTCAACATAGAGAATGATTTTAACAACTTCTGTACATACATTGGATCCACCATCAAGTCCCACTCACCCATAAAAAAATCCGCTGGCTCAAAATTTCCACATTGGTTCTCCAATAACCTCAGAAGACTAATCATAGCCAAGAAGGCTCTACAGAAAAAATATAAATCATCACTTTCCCATCAAGATTATTTGAACTTCCAAAATATAAGAAGAGTCTGCAAGTTACAAACACTTCAATGTCACTCCGTCTATCTCTGTAAAATCGAGTACAGTATCCCCTCAAACATGAAGTCTTTCTGGTCATATGTAAAATGCCAAAAAAGCTCATCTTCGCTCCCATCTTCTATGTTCCTTGACTCAGAAGAAGCCGCAGACCCCGAAGGCAAATGCAACCTTTTCGCTGAATATTTTTCTTCAGTCTTCAGAGTGACTGACGTTCCACAGCCAACTTTTGACTTTGGTCTGAATCTATCAATAAGCAGCTGTAAATTTCAAGCTTTGGATGTGCAGAGAAAGTTGGAAGCATTGGACCCGAACAAAGGAGCCGGCCCAGACGACATCCCGCCTGCTGTACTGAAGTAATGTGCCCCTGTCCTCGCACCCCACCTCCAAATCTACTTTGAAAAACTTCTCTCAGCGGGAACTTTTCCGACGGTGCTGAAGCATAGTTTTGTTGTTCCTATTTTTAAATCAGGTTGCAAAAACAATATAAAAAACTATAGACCAATTGCCATTCAGTCTGCCCTGTCCAAAATTTATGAAAGTCTTATCCTTGACTGTTTGAGCTTTCAACTTGGTAGATTTATTGCTCCAGAACAACATGGCTTCATCCAGGGTCGCTCCTCTTGTACAAACCTCCTCGTTTTCCACAATCTAATCATGTCAGCATTTACCGAGCACTCCCAAGTAGATTGTGTCTATCTGGATTTTAGCAAAGCCTTCGACAGAATAGACCATCACTTATTGATTGCTAAACTTGAGGGCTATGGAATCTGTGGCCCATTACTCTCCTGGCTGAATAGTTACCTCACTGACCGCATCCTCGTTGTTAGGTGTGATGGAGAGCAATCCCGTCCCTTCACTGCCACTTCTGGAGTGCCCCAGGGTTCTCATCTTGGTCCACTGCTGTTTAATTTATTCATTAACGACATCTGCCCAGAAATTAAAACTAAATTTCTCTTATTTGCTGATGACATTAAGGTGTTCAACAAAGTAACCTCCACACATGACCAAGAAATGCTTCAACACTCGATTAACAACATCAGCAAATGGTGCTTATCAAATGCAATGGAGCTCAATGTCTCCAAATGTGTAGTTATGTTTCTCAGTCTCAGTAACTTAGTTCATGAGTATGACTATTGTATCGATGGCAGAAGTCTCAGCGTGGTCGAGAAATTCAGAGATCTAGGTGTAATCACTGTCCCTTCACTCAGCCCACAAGATCATCTGATCCATATATCCTCAAGAGTCTCTTCTCTGTTGGGGTTTATCCATCGCTCCACAAGATCTTTCATATCTCCCATGGCACTCGTCACGCTATACAAATCCCTGGCCCGACCAATCTTAGAGTACTGCTCTGTCATCTGGAATCCGTATCAAAGTGGCCATATTGAAATCTTAAACAGGATTCAAACACGATTTCTTAAACTACTGGGTCTGAAACTCGGGTTTCCTTTCCTCGAAGTTCCTGTAGCAGCTCTCGAGGTGCACTTTGGCCTTCAACCACTTCCCCTGAGACGACAAGTCAACGACATTGTATTCCTTTTCAAAGTGGCAAATGGGATCATTGACTGCCCCGAACTCTTGAACGAAGTGGACTTTAACGCTCCCAGAGGAACCCGATCCAGAGCTGTCTTCAGAAGGAGGTATCAGCCCACGAACTATACCCTTCACCACGGAATCTCCAGACTGCTGAGATTTAGCGAAGACCTCTGCCCACACTTGGATTTCTTTGGGCCATCACCAGCATCCTTCAGACGTGATGTCCAGAGGCTGCTCTACTGACACCTCTCCGCTCTCTATTAGTGTTGGTTATTTGGTGGTGCCTCTAAAGGGCCACATGCTGGGTGCCGGGAAGTGCTGATTTGTGTCGAGTGATGCGATTTGTGCTCTTGGAGTTCCTTGGTGGTGCCTTTAGATGGCCACACGCTCAACAGTGCCAAGTGATGAAATGTCTTGTCAGCATTCTATCAAAAAGTTTTTCTCCCTCCAGATCCATCCTTTTGTTATACAGTTTTGTTTTTATGTTACGTTAGCTCTTTCACAGTTTATTATATTGTTATCATTGCCATAGTCTATTATTGTTATGTTTAGTAAATTTATTAATGTTAATTATCCACAATGTTGTCATTTTGATGGTTACTGATTGTTATTGATGTTAAATATTCACACTTATTGTTATTGTACTTAATTATTTACACTGTTTCTTGTTATTGTTATTGATGTTTATTATTCACAATTTTTCTTGTTATTGTAATTGATGTTAATTATTTACACTGTTTCTTGTTATTGTTACTTTTTTCACAATGTTGTAACTGTTGCAATTCACTCAAACTGTCCACCACCACCACCAAACTTCTTACTCATTTATTGATGTTTTCTATTGTATTATCTTGTTGTATGTAAATCTTGTCTGATGTATTATTTTGTAAAATGGCGATTGCCGTCGGAATGAATAAATAAATGAATAGTAGCTGTAGCGATTGTTCTTCTGTTCTTATTATTATTAAAGTAGGCTGTGGTGAATATATATTTAAATAAAACAAACATCTTCAATTAACTCAAAGCTGCCATCTTTATTAAACCCAAAGTAAAGAAGGAAGAGACTCACAGACGAGGCTCCCCCACTACTGATAGTTACAGTTGTGCCAATACAACAAAATATAAAATACAATTAGATTAGAAATGAGTACTTATAACATTTCCCTCTTTGACAAAAGAAACATTTATCTTCTTACTTCAAAATAACTCTCATTACAAAACAACATTAACATAGTTAGTGGTTATGAAACAAATCAAATTTAATTTAAGTTTACAACAACTCAGTTGATAGTGTAACTAATAATGATTATAAATTTTTTTCAATTACCATTTAAGTCAAACACTTGTTTATGTACCTTTGCTATGGCCTATTTCTTATAAATGCATGTTTTCTATCTCACTTCCTAGAAACACACAGAATGCCAAGTGCTCAACAGCATTAGGCTACTTTTTAATTCATTTGTTTACTGAATATTATAATTTACAACCAAAACTATTTCAAAATTAACATTCTTTTTTTTCAGCCTATCTTAAAATTAGTTTTATATGTTGGCTATTACATTATTAAATTGCTACGTTTACATCATTTTATTTTTTATTACTTCTTCCATCTTAATGTGAAAATTTCATCTTAGTGTGGAATAATTCTAACAACTCTTACAACTTTTTAACTCATTATTATTACTTAAAAATAATTTTATGTTTGTCTAACAACAACTAACCAACACAATTTTACTGAGGTTCTTATACAATTTTAAATTGATATTAGGGCCTATTCGAATTTTCTCACAACTGTTTAGTACACATGTCAGCTATTAGTTATTGTCTCTTCGTCTTAACTGGCTCCGCATGATGTAAAATGAAATTGTACAAAAAAGAATAGTAACTGCTATGTATGAAATAAAACACAAAGTAAACAACTGGAATGCCTATTCCTAATTGGTGATTCAACACAGACATTTGATTGGTCATGATTGTCACTATACCAATTACTTTGACCATCTGAAGGTCTTAATCTGAGATGAAATGTATTACGCGTAACAACTCTTCCACTTCGAAATAGTTTTACAACATATGACCTTACGTTAGCTGTATGGCCTACTACAAGACCAGGTTCCCAAATCCTTGAGTGAACATTGTAAACATATACTTTGTCTTGTGGTTTAAAGTACCGTCCAGGACGAGTACTTCTGTCGTAATATTTAGCAGACAATTCCTGCTGTTTAGAAAGAAGCATACTTACTAGACTAGTATCATGTACTTGCGGTTTTAACAAGTTAGCAGACACTGGGACTCTACTTCGTAGCCTAGGCCTACGACTCATTAGTAATTGAGCCGGAGATAAGTCACCTACTACAGGTGTGTTACGGAACTCCAGCAAGGCTAAATTGATATCCTTGTCATCATCACAACATTTCTTGAGAATTTTCTTATAAGTTTGGATCATTCTCTCGACTTGGCCATTCGATCTAGGGTATAAGGGGCTTGTATTGACAATCTCAAAATTCCATTCAGCTTGAATGTACTTACAGACAAGTTTTAGGCTAGGATCTTGCTGCGTAGCATTAACAAACTCAGATTTCCTACGCTCAGAAATGGCTAAATCATGTGGTATTACAACTTCCACTAAATCAATTACAGGATCACTAACCTGGTCTTTAATATGACAGCGGAGAGAAATCATGCCTTCAATTTTAAGTTTAAAACCACCATAGGAGACCAGTTTAATCTTAGTCGGTGTCACAAAATCACTTAGTTCTGAATCAATTTCCAAGAGCTTCTGTAAAGGCAATATGTTTATTTCCGCACCACCGTCTAACTTGAACTCAACTTCGTGTCGACTGGGACCTATTAACACATTTTCAAACCAACCTCCTTCCGCTGTTTTTTCAGATACTATACTGTCAATATAAAATCATCGTCACAAAGAATGTCATTTACTTGTTTGACACTACCATTAGGCCTACTTTTGAACTTGTTATTAAACTTCTTTCTTGTGTTCTTAAAACAACCTACTGAGAAGTGATTTAATTTATTACACAGGAGACAGCGCTTGCCATAGGCTGGGCAGTGTGCTGCTAGGTGCGTGGTATTACAAAGATAAGGTTTACCTGAGTCCTTGTTGTTAACAGGCCTAGTAGGCCTAGCCCAATGCATTAAACTGTCCACTTCCTGGGCCCCATTGGTTACCTTTCCTTTGACGTAGGCCCACCTCATGTACTACTTCTTCCTTAATTACTGGAGCTTGCGTAGTTGAAGATTTATCATTAACAGAAAAAACCACTTTGTCTTTGGTTATGTTACTTACATGCTCCCTACTAGACTCGATTAGCCTACAAAACTTAACAGCGTCATCAAGTTTTACGTTAGTTTCTCGTATAAGTCTTTCTTGAGTCGAGTTATCGTTGATTCCCATGACAATCCTATCCCTTATTAAATTTGACTCTTGATCCCCAAAGTCACATGAGATAGCAAGTTTACGTAAGTCCGTCAAAAAACTATTAAACGATTCCCCATCAGCCTGAGACCTTCTGAAAAATAGGTATCTCTGATACACAACATTAGTGTTAGGCGTAAAATGAGCCTCAAACGCATTGATGACTTGATCGAGGGTTAAATTTTCCTCAGGCCCTAGCTTAAAAGTGTAATAGACCGACAGAGCCTCGGCTCCAATAACATTCATGAGCTGAGCAATTTTCACATCTTCAGCCTTTCCCGTTGCTTCAGTTGCCTTCAAGAACAACAGAAACTGTTTCTTAAAAAGTGTCCACTCTGTAGCCACATCTTCATAATAATTAATGGCCCTGGAGGCTTGAAACTTGTCATAATGTAGACTTACCCCTGCCGTTACCATGAGGTTTTGTTGGCGTCACTTTGTTATTTGTAAATTTTACTACTTAACTGCAACATTCAAATTTAAATTTGATATATATTACGCAGCGCCATGTAGCGATTGTTATTCTGTTCTTATTATTATTAAAGTAGGCTGTGGTTAATATATATTTAAATAAAACAAACATCTTCAATTAACTCAAAGCTGCCATCTTTATTAAACCCAAAGTAAAGAAGGAAGAGACTCACAGACGAGGCTCCCCCACTACTGATAGTTACAGCATAGACTAATCAACACAAGGTTACAGTTGTGCCAATACAACAAAATATAAAATACAATAAGATTAGAAAATATAACAGTAGCGGGCTGAGAATTCCCTCCCTTTTTCAGTATGAAAATCTATGATGGACTGGACTAGCTCTTCTTGAGGTTTACAACTTAATGACAACGCGCGCGAATTGTCTGTCAATGTTGTTGAACACGAAGGAGTAGGTTCTTTCTGGGTCGACGAAACATCTACATGTTTTACAGGAATGTCTGTCACTATTTATTGAGCACTTCCCGGCTCTTGAACAGATCCAGTATCTTAAATACCAGTACATTTGTTGTTATGGTTTCAGACAGAGGCTGATGGACAACATCTTGAAGGCCACAACAATGACTGTGAGTTGGGAAGTACTCAACCTTCAGTTTGTTATCTTCCAGTTCCCTTACAGTCGTTTTGGCAATACATCAATGGCCAACTTTATTTAATCCTTCCTTTCGAAGCACACCAGCTTGTTTTTTTTTATCTCAGTGGTTTTTTGCTGAGCCATCATGCTGGCAATACTAGTAATGGATATTACATTTCTTTGGCTTTGGATTAATGCCAAATTGTTTCGCAAAAAAGAATAAGTTGATTCTTCTTCCAATTCTTTCCACTGAGAAAATTCCTCAAAAGTTGAGAATATTTTTGTAATTGATTCCTTGATATTAAGTTCTTTATGGATACATTTCAATTGGTTGATCAATCATGTCTTGAGGTAAAATTTTTAATCGCAATTGTCGGAAAGACAGGGTATTCTACTGCATTTAGTAGTTTCCAAACACTTTTTTCATGTGATTTCAAAATTTCTTTTCTCACAAATGTAGACTTACAATTACTGCAGGAAAACAAACACAGTTCCCTACATTTATTAAGGGTACAGTTATTTTCGTGTCTCTTCGACTGCTTTTGGGTGTGAATATTTTGCAGCAAAATTGACAATTATGACTTCTTATTCTTGATGACACAGACATACTGACATATTATATATTCAGGATTTAATCAAGGTTAAAAAATATCCAAGTCACACATTATTAACTAACAAGCAAACATGCACAAGTCCAGGCACTGCAAATAAACAACAAGTCTGAATAGCACACCATGCAGAACTAAATAAATACAACTGCGTTTCATGCATAGGCAAACAGTGTGTCAGAAAAGTCCCGGAACAGTTAACATATTTTAAACCTTTTTTACATTTTCACTAATTTCCAATTTTGATGCTTTGAACAGCTGCCATTTTCGACTCGTTTATTTTATTATTTAGTTTCTCAACAGCATAGACCATCATAAAAACATACAACTCTATGTTTTTTATATATAAATGTACCTACATATTTTTCCGACCTTAAGGTGTACCATGTTTTTCCTGTCGTACTTGGATCTCTTGCCCTTGTCTTCTAAGTGGGGGGATAACAAAACTATTTTTTAAGTAAAAAGGTGCATTTCTTTATATTAAGACCTAAAACAAAACAAACAAGTTAAAGTAAAAATCACTAAGGTCATAAAATACAAAGAGTAGGCCTACAACTTCTTATGTATTGGTATTATTCATGCTCGTCAATTTCATATGTCCAGAGCATTGTCTTCTTCATCTCCATCTCCCAAGTCTGCTTCTTCGTTATGTCGATTTGCTTCTTGGACTTGATCAGGTTGCTCGGAGACGTTTTTCAATGCCTAACAAAATGGATGATGGATGGCCGGTACAAACTGGAGAAGCTCAAACAGATCTTTCACCTTTTGTGGCTTTAGCTTAGGCCTTGTCATTGCTGGTTGAAGAGTTGGAAGCTTAGCAGGAAGTTTTCCAGCGTCATTTTGTCTCAAGCTCATGTGAGCAAACGGTTTCAGGTTGTGACAGTGAATTTCAAATTTCCTTTCTTTTGAGCTCAAATTTATGGCATTGTATTTTACTAATAAAGACCTTTAATTTGATGTGCATATCGACCAACCTATGCTTACAATTAAAGATTTTCTTCAACTTACTTCAACAAACTTACATTCAACCTCAATCAGAGTCACATTTCATGCCTTCGATTCCTGAGAGATCAGAGTCAGGATCGTCAGGGTTGTCACTGTTGGATGCATCCTCGTTGTCGTCACTATCAGGACCCACCCAATTCAATAATAATTGGGCCAATTTGTTAATTCATAATGTGATCGGATTCCCAGTAATCGACCTCGGTTTTGACGACAAAGTGGCAACCAGTCATTTTCTGTCATTGAATCAAATTTTTCTTCATACACCTTTTTTACGTCGGTGATTTTGTAAGTTGTGTATCAACTGGCAACCCAACCCTTCTCTATTGCCCAAATGTTCTAAATCGGGTTTAGGGGTCCGGGTGGTAGTCTCAAACAGGTTTTATTATGCTTAGACAATATTTCGTCAATTTCATACATTTTATACACCGGTTTGTTACGACAAATTAGTGCGTTAAGTGTTGGTTTTAACATGTCATTGGTATAATAAATGTTCATTTTGTCCAGCCAATTTTTGATTTCCTGCATAGTAGATCCACTATTAGGGACTTAATCAATAACAGTGTTATGGTAGGGGGCGTTGTCCCCAACTTCAACGCTGTTCGCAAGTAGATTAGAGATTAACAGCTCCTCTAAGCATTTGTAATAATTTCCTTTATTATGTTAAGGTGATAACCACCAGTAGCTTTAGATGATTTCCACATCAATAAGGCATAAATAAGGCAATAAGGTATAAATCCCATTTCCCCTCAAGCATGAATGATTATTAGTATTTCTTCTTTAGATATTTGTTTCACATATCCTTGGCTGGAATTGTCGCTCCATTTAGAAGTGTGACGAAAGAATGTAGGTTTCGCCCAAAATATATACTATAGGTCTTATTTATTCCCTATACTTTTTTAATTTTTTATAAATAGTCAATTCTTTTTCTGTACAATATCAGGTTTCTCAATCAAGATTTTTCTATTACTTTTTTTTTTTTTTTGCCACTAAAATCCCAAATTCTTTATTAATTTCTTGCTTCGGAAATTTATACTTTCTACAAATTTTAAACGAATTCCATCTACAGTTGGACATCTTTTCTCATTGATGTAGAAGTTGTGTACGATTCTTCTCACTAGGGCTTGGTCAAAATTGTCTAGATCAGTAATATAGCATTTTTTTATTTCTTTTCTTATCAAGTGTCACAAACTACGTACTTGCACCAGAATCGAATACAGATTTTTCTCGTTTAATTCGTTTTACTGTACTTATTGGTGTGCCCGTAGCTCTGGCCGTTCTTTCCTGACACTTGTGAAGGGGAATGGTTACTGAGTCATTTTCCGCTTCAGATGCCATGAAATTTAAAACATTGGCAATAACCTCTTTGGTCTGACTATGATTTTTTTATTCATCTTGACTTTACACATAATGGGAGGCATTATTGTTACTTTCAGCACTCAAACACTTAGCCGAGCGGATGCTTTCAGGTCTTTGTAGTACAAGGTAGCTCATACGCTGAACAGCCTCCCAACCACGAGTCAGCGGCTGCTTTTCAAATTACAACCGTTGTCGCAGCAATACCGCGCAACAAATTGTAATCGAGTCACTTTTCGGAATCTGCCGTTTGTTAATCGCTCATGAAGCTTCTTCCTGTCCCAACCTGGTTCACCATACGAGAAAAGGAGGGGATATAACATGGTTTCAGTCAGCTGATGGAGAGAGTTAATACTACTAAGGCCACTGGCTCCATCTCCTTTGGGAAACACTTTTTGATCGTATTGTAGTGGTGGATCGCCATCTTTGGTGGTAAAAACTGCAACAATTTCATCGGCAGAAGGAAAATAAATCAGTTTTTGCTTTGATCGGAAATATCTGGTTGTTCAGAAAGCAGGAACATTCTCACTTCAAAGGGAGGTCGACTTTCACGATGTGCGACTTCGATTTATTCTCTCTCCACGACTGCCATCATCCTGTACAGCTAATGGATTGGCCTCTAGCATAATTTCGTGCAATTCGGCCATGAGTTGCAGGCAGAGTTCCTCAACATGCGAAGGTCAGTTGCCTCGGCTGTATGAATTATATATAGTTGTGCGTTTAGTCTATCTTCAGATTTTTCTGGATGGAGTGGACCATATTTGTAGTGAACATGGCCATTAATCTTAAAAAGGCAGGTACCACGTTTATAAGGATGTACTACTTCGTTGGCAACGAATGATGTAAATGACATTGCACTGTTTCATTTCCGCATGTTTTCCAGATAGTGTCGTTTGGATGTATTGTTGTTGACCAAAATATCTTCTAATAGATTATGAGACCTAATTTTAGGGAGCATGACCTTCCTATCATGACAGCAGGTGCTGAAATGGTAATTATTCCTTGTGCCAACTTTCTCGCAGTCAAAGTGCAATGCTTTACAAAAAATGCATTCTAGATTAAGTGGACCAAGGTCATAATAGGCCACTGCAAAACTTCTGTCAAGAGCGCATTTTGGGGGAGTTTTCTTGTTCAGTGATTTTCATTATTCACCATCGGAACACAATCAACTTTTTCATCGGGGGTATCCGTTGGCCCAAGAGCAAAAATTACCGGCCAGGTCCAAATTCACCAACATTTTTGGGGTCGTTTCTAATGTCCAAATTCACCAACTTTCTACATGGAGCAGGTACGATATTTCTCCCGGCGGGCGGGGAAGGAATTCCCTCCGAATAATTTGCCATCGCCTGCTCCGTCTCGTCTCGGCGAGAACGTCACAATACAG